GGGGAGGGGGGCACTCCAGGGGAGCAAAAAAAAAACCCACCCCGAGAGAGCCGAGGTTTGTCGGCACAGTGGCCCTTACAGAAAGGTGACATTTGAGAGAACAATTGCTAGGTTGTCTGGCCACATTTGCTGGATGAATGAAGCCTAAGAAACGCTGTCTTTGGATCGCCGCGAATAGTCATCTTCATCATTGCTGCGAGCTCTCTCTCTCTCTTTCTTGGTTCCCTTATGAAATAAGGGCACACAGGTAATAAACAAAGCACTATAAAAGATCAGATCGAGGTATTCTGTGGGCTCATTCAATGTCAGGAGCGGGCGTTCGGCACACCAGCGCTGGGGCTTGCGGCTCGGACCTGAGGAGGAGAGGCAGGCCTAGGAGGGACCCCCGGCTCCCTCTCCACGACTGGGCTGTTTATCGGGGTCATTTCCTGGGTCAGCTAGACGGAGGGACAGGGCAGAGCACGGCCGAGTTAGATCCCCTTGGATTTTGCTCCTTTTGAGTCTGGATGTTGAACCTGACTTTTTCGGTCAAGCCTCTTGCCAGATCTAGGTGAGTAGCTGCCTGGGCTGAAGAGCTGTTTGTCAGTCGCACGAGACTTGTTTTCTCTCGACTGGGACAGATCATTAGGTGGTGATTCTTATTTCTATCCCTTTGGCCACAGTCTAGGTACTGGTGGTGACCGCAGTCTCACAGCAGCACCCTGGCTGGCTGGCTGCTACGGGAGAGACGGGCCAAACCCTGCAAAGGAATTGCCTTGATGTGTATGAAGGAGCGGGGTGGGCTCGTTGGATCTGGGGGGAGAATGAACAATGACTGTGTGCACCTGGCAGGATTCTCCTCCTGACAAGCAAGCCTTCTTACCTTGGGTCCCTGTTGGGCCTCTCCCTCCTACCCTCACCTCGCCTGTAACCCTCCTTTGCTCTGAATTTGCAATATCCACCGGAGGTAAGCAAGAGAGACCTCAGCCCTGTCCGGTTAAAGAGACGTAGTTCAGCACGTGTGAGCAGCAGGCACCAGCTGCGGATCTGGCTTCTGCCCATGAGTGGTACCCAGGGAGCATCCTTTCTGGAAAGTTCATCCACACGCAGATGCTGGTGAGCTGGGCCCCGATAGACTGGACCTTTCGGTGGACAAATGGCTCTGTGCCTCACTGGAGCCAGGCTGTTCTTTGCTCTGCTATTTGTTCTCCTTTTTGTGGGTCATCATCACCATTACTGGGAACTTGATGTAGGAATAATGCAGGACGAAATGATACCAGTTCTGCAGAGCGGAGTGTCAGGTTTGCACGAGTTTGTGCCTGTCTGTGGGTGGACAGACCCCAGTGAATGTGACGGATGTGCTTCAGATACTTCCTTTAGGAGGCCTTGAAAATGCCCGCCCTGGTTAGGGACAGTGTAACAACATGGGGTGCTTAGCTCTAGGCATCCTAAGGAGAAAATTGCTTTAGCAGCTTCATCTTCCCATCTGTCTTGTCGTCAGTGAATAATTCTCAAGAGTGGTGTGTATACATTCTATACGATTAGGCTCTTTTATGTTTATGCCTTTAGCCTCAGGATTTTAGGTACTTTCCAAATGACCCTTTTATTATTATTAATTATTTTTAACCTCCATTTTGCGAAGCCAATTCAGCTAGAATTTCAGTTGCATTCCAATTTTACAAAAAGAGGCTTTCTGGAATTTAACTAAAACATTAAACTTCCCATATGGGAAAGACTGTGTGTGTGTGTGTGTGTGTCTGTTTGTGTGTGTTAGCACACGCTATGAAAGTTACATGCAAACAGTGGTATACTGCTTGTTCTGTCTGGATGTGTGCATATAGATAACATGCAATATAAAATAATCATTGTGACTTGGTCATTTACATCCAGACTCTATTTCTTTCAACAGAAGCTTGTCTGATAGCCTGCTGCAGGAGAAATGAGGCTGAAGCCTGTAAAGATGTGGATTCGTAGGAACGGGGTTATAGTTAATACTTTGTAAATGTATTTCATAGACATGTGCAAAGTTTAACATCTGTAGGTTTTCTTAGCAATGAACCATAGATGCTTGAACACTTTCTCAATTTGCCATCACATAGAAAGTGTCCTGTTTTTTTGCTCAGCATTGAGAGTTTCTTTCCCAGGCCTGTGTTTTCCAGATGGTACTGATTCGTCTGGAAACAATAGGATTTTTAACACGGCTCCTCTAAGACAAACCTGCTTAATATGGTAGGGAATCAGTAACATTTGAAGAATAAAGGAATGACTGAATTGTTTCCTGAACTGTAGGTAATGGTCACCTTTATATTTATTTACACATGGAGGTACACTCTTGGGTAGAATATTCACAGAGTTATTGGACTAGCAGTCTGGACTCAACTGGCAAATTCTTTCAATGTCTCATTTAATTTATCAGTAACTTAAGTGTAGTTAATCAGTAACGCAGGAGATCACCACAATGCAGGAGATTCAAGTTCGATCCCTGGTCGGGAAGCTCCCCTGGAGCAGGGAGGGCAACCCCCTCCAGTATTCCGGCCTGGAGAACCCCGGAGACGGAGGAGCCTGGGCTACAGTCCCTGCTGCTGCTGCTAAGTCGATGCAGTCGTGTCCGACTCTGTGTGGCCCCATAGAGGGCAGCCCACCGGACTCCTCCGTCCCTGGGATTCTCCAGGCAGGAATACTGGAGTGGGCTGCCGTTTCCTTTCCAATGCATGCATGCATGCTAAGTCAGTTTAGTCGTGTCCGACTCTGTGAAACGCTATGGACAGCAGCACACCAGGCTCCTCCGTCCACAGGATTCTCTAGGCAAGAATACTGGAGTGGATTACCATTTCCTTCTCCAGCTACAGTCCATGGGGTCGCGTTAGTAGGACACGACTGAGCGATTAAACCACCACCACATATATATCACAAATCTTTCTATCCTCCAACCTTTCTTCTTTGTATATCTCCCATAATCGTCTATGTAATCAATACATATTGAGGGGGATAACATTAAAGACTTCATTTTCTCTGCGATTACAGGTCTGAAATATGTCTGCAGTATAAGGACGTGGGTACAAAGTTTGGGAACAGTTTAATTTCCCTCCTGAGATATATCCCTAACTCTTGAAAGGAGGCTGGATGGGCCAGCAGAGTGGTGGCACAGTGGTCAATGGTTGTTATTCACATAAGGTGCAAGGGGGAATGGGATTTCCTGGTGGTCCAGTGGTTAAGACTTTACACTTCCACTGCAGGGGTCGTGGGTTTGATCCCTGGTCAGAGAACTAAGATCCCACGTGCTGTAGTGAGCAGCCAAAAAAAAAAAAAAAAGTGCAGGGGGAGATAGCACACCGCTGAACACCAACCACGAGCTGAGCTGTAACCTACAGCACTGTTGTAGTAAGCATTTCGCCCAAATTGGGCAAATCAGTTGCCAGTGACGTCTGGCCGCAGACACCTGCCTCTTACAGACCTACAGGGATGTGGGGACCCAGGACTCAGGCACACGCATGATTCACTGTTTACTTCCTCTGCTTATCAGCCTCGTGGGTGAGGGCAGCATGAAGCGCTGGCCCAGTCGCCTTCTAGAACAATGCGGCAAAATGCAGGAGAACACACTGTCTTGTGTTTGGAGCTTTAAGAGCCTCTGAGGTGACCTGGTGCTGGGGAGAATTTGAGAACAGAATGGCTTATAACCATCGCTCCTGGCTAATAATTGCGCTAATCTTTTCGAGGGAGGTTTTGTGTGCATGCAAGTTCCCCCTTTCCTCAGTCCCTGAGTCAGAGAACAATAGCGGAATTGTGTTTCTGCACTATTCCATGAGATAGGTCAGGGGACAGGGTGCAGAAGGTCTGCAGTGAATGACCCGCCGGGCATTTGCCCGGAGCCATCGTGAAGGAACCTGAGACCCGGGCGATAGGCTTTGGCCAAACCAGAGGGAAAGCGTTCAGCAGCCGAGCCTTTTGAACAGCAGCTGTTTTCAGGGTTAGCAGATCCCATGCCCTTTGGGGAGACCTCAGAAGCAAGTGCAAGGCTTGCTGGAAGAGGAGAGTGTGTGTGTGTGTGTGTGTGTGTGTGAGGGGGGATGACAAACATGCTTACCCTTAACGTCAAGTTGTCAAGCTCTGAGTTAAAATAATCTACAAGGCTATTCTTCAAGGAGGACATGCCCTGTGATGTAGCAAGTGTTATTTAAATGTTCCATTGTGATGACAGTACTCCTAATAACTTAGAAAGTAAGTGCTGAGTAAATACGCCTAAAAGTTCAGAACACAAGCCAAGGTTTATGAGACCCAAGGGCAGGTAAATCTCCCAGGACATTTTTCACAGTGTGCGGGAATGTCCCGTCTTCTCCCCAAAGCAGGGCACACAGTCACATCAGACATCCTGCACTCGCCACTTGCTCCTCCGTGCATTCCCACAGGATGGCTGGGCATTGAGGGAGCAGGCTGCCCTCGCGCCGGCTGGGCTGATTGGTGTTGGAGGAAGTTGCTTTCCGACGTCGCGTTAGCTGCTGTTGTACAGCAAGGTGAACCAACCACCTGTCACTGTGACTGTTTAGTTCTAAGTCGCATCTGACTGTCTGTGACCTCATGGGCTGCAGGCACCAGGCCTCCCTGCCCTTCACAGCCGCACAAGTGCACACGACAAGGATGGCCCTGGTGGCTCAGGCGGTGAAGAATCTGCCTGCAATGGGGAGACCTGGGTTCCATCCCTGGGTTGGGAAGAGCCCCTGGAGAAGGAAATGGCAACCGACTTCAGGACTCTTGCCTAGAGAGTCCCGTGGACAGAGGAGCCTGGCAGGCTACTTTCGGGCCACCTTCCTGTTCAGGTTACCACGGAACATTGGGTCGAGTTTCCCGCCCTGTACAGTATGTCCTCATTAGCTATCTATTTTATACACAGTGTCAACAGTGTGTATGGGTCAATCCCAAGTGCACAGTATTTTACTTCTCCGCTGCCTCTCCGCCCTGGGTTTCCCAGTTACCCACTCTTGGGGGTGTTTTTCATCTCTCCCCGTCTGCTCCCTGTTCGGCAGCTGCTGGGTTCAGGACAAGGAGGCTGGTGTGGCTGGTGCACAGAGGACGTTGCTAGTGTAACGTGGCAGGGCTGCACGCCGCGGCATCGAAGGGCAGGGAGAACGAGAGGCGCTGGGGATGCTTCGCGGCGGCGGCAGGACCAGGTAACCTCGCTGGCTCCGGTGCGGGACGCCCTTGGGGAGCTGCTGGTCTCAATCAGACTGAGAGCCGGGCGAGGACACAGTTTCTCCTCTCTCAGACCCCGGAGTTCTCCAGCCTACCTTTTCCGGCTCCCCATGAGCATTTCCAAATTGAAAAAAAAAATTAAAAATACGTGTGGAAAAATACAGTAAAAGTGACAGCACCTTCCCAGTTTCCGACGGTTCTGTTTTGCCTTTGCAATCAGCCAAGCTGGAGCCCCCGAGGAGCTGGCTTAATGTGTCGCCGTGAATTATTAACCATTTCCCTGCCTCTCCTGCTGGGTGTCCTTCTGGCTCCTGGCCCCTAGCCGGCTCAGTGACTGGTTAATCCTGTGTCCTTTCTCTCCAGCTTGTGACTTTGCCTGAAGGGCTTGGTTTCTCTTCCTGGGGAAGAGAAATTCCAGGTTTGAATTCACTTCATTGTCACCTCCCAATTGATTTTTTTTTTTGCTAAGCAGTGGCTGAAACAGAAGGGTGATGGGTGATGGGTCAGGGCAGGAAGGGAGGACCCCAAGGTCAGCTCTCCTGTGGTCCGAGTGCCCTGCAGAAGTCCGATGGTTTAGTATATTTGTCTGGCTTAAGGGTTAAAACACAGAAACGCTCGTTGTGGAGCTGGGATGATACGGGATCGGGGCTGCTGGGCAGCAGGTGGAGAGAGAACCTCACGTGTGCGTCACGTCAGCAGAGTCAGTCTCTGGGGCATCCAGACCCCTCTCTGGGCCTTTTCTGTTTCCCGTCCCTCCTTGGGTACCATGTACCTTCATCACGTCACCTTGGTGCTCAGAGTCCGGGCAAAACCATGCATTCAGACCGTTATCAAAGGCTTTCTTTCCCTTTGCATATTCCCAGTGCCATTGTCCTTGAAGCCTTGTACTTTGGGACCATTCACTTCTTAATACGAAAAATTAATCCAAATTAACTACTTCTTTGGGAGCTGATCTGGTGCATTATGGAATCTGATTTGATGGGTTACTAAAAAAAAAAAAGCAACTCAAACCGAATGCATCCTTTAGAAACAACTTGGATTAAAAATCCTGTTTTATTTTTGTAAAATGTCAATTGTAGTATTTTTAAATGGTAGTAAACTCACAATTTTTAATTTAAAATATTAACGTGTATATAAATATCGTGTAACAAGCTAAACGGGGAAAGCTTTGGAAAATAACAGTACATGGATAATCGAATCACCTTGCTGTATGCCTGAAACTCTCACAACGTTGTTATCAACTATATTCCAACACAGAATAAAAAGATTTTTTTAAAAAAAGTGCATACAGTGAAACCTTCCCCTCCAATAACTCAGATCCTTCTTGGTTACGGAGGTAACAGAAACTCTCAGTTTGTGGCCTATTCTTCCACAAATGTTTCATGTGCATGAAAGCCATTATATTGCGCTGGCCAAAAAGTTTGTTTGGGTTTGTCCTTTACGTGGGATGGAGAAACCCGAATGAACTTTTTGGCCAATCCAATGTACTCTCTACCCCCTTTTCATTTTGATGTGCTTTATTTTAGAAAATTTAAACGGGGTTTGCCAAGCTATTACAGGGTCCCTGCACATGCCACCATGCAGTTTCCTCTTTCGTTAACTTCATATTCCTGGGGTACATTTGTCACCACTAAGGGAGCAACGTCAGCACATCGTTAATAACCAAAATCCATAGCTTATCAGATTTTACTGGTTTCACCCCACTGTCCTCTCTGTTCCTGGGTCTCATCCGGGATACCACCTCGTCTTTAACTGTTCTATCTCCTCAGCTTCTTCTCGCCCGTGCTAGTGTCTCGGACTTACCTTCTTTTGATGACCTTGACAGATTTGAAGAGGTCAAATATTTTGTAGAACGTCCCTCAGTTTGAGTTGGGTTAATATTTTTGTCATGGCTTGCCCGGGTTATGGGTTTTCGGGAGGATGACCAAAGAGATGAAGTCTGTTCTCATCATATCACAGGGACATGCTATCCCCAAGACTGACCACTGATGCTGTGACTGATCACCTGGCTGAGGAAGCGCTCGCCAAGTCTTGACCCTGTAAAGTGACTCCTCTCCCTTCTGTACTAGGACTCTCTGGAAGAACGGCACTGAATTCAACCCAGGCTCCACGGGGACCTCCTTGAAGCCCCTCAAGTTTTTAACACTATGGCATGATATTTTACAGGATTTCTTGTGCCTTGTCTTTTTTAAAAGAGCATATTTTAGAGAGTTCTATATCAGTATTGAAAGAGTGTCCACATTCATTATTAATTTGCATTTATTCTATGAATGTATTAAAACCATATCAGGTGGCTCAGGGATAAAGAATTCGCCTGCAATACAGGAAATACAGGAGACTCGAGTTCGACCCTGGGTCAGGAAGATCCCCTGGAGTAGGAAACTCTGGCAACTCTAGTATTCTTGCTTGGAAAATCACATGGACAGAGGAGCCGGGCAGGCTACAGTCCATGGGGTCACAAAGAGTCAGACATGACTGAACATCCACACACATTAATAGCATAACAGATTTAACTAACTCCCTTGTGATGGGCATTTAGGTCACTTTAACATTTTGGTCTCATAACAATGCTGGAATATACAACCTGGTTCATGTTCAAATATTCCTGCAGGATAAAATCCTAAAAATTGAATCTCTACTTAAAGAGAATGTGATCTGTAATTTTTCAAGCAGTTGCCAAATTACCTTCCAAAGACAGTGAACCAATTTATGCTCTTCTAGGAAGATATGATCAAAATGACTTAGCGGAGGGAATTTCAAGTTGGTGGAGGAAATGTTTTTAAACTGGTGGATCATTTAATGTTTCTGCAAATCTCCTTAAATCATAGCAAAATAGGCAAAAAAATGTTAAAAAATCCAATTATTTCAATGCAACGTTGTCTAGAGTAAATTTAATAAGTCTAGAGAGCTCAGCCTGGGGCTTCCCCCATGGTTAGCAGTAAAGAATCTGCCTGCAATGCAGGAGATGCATGTTCAGTTCCTGGGTTGGGAAGAGTCCCTGGAAGGAAATAGCACTGACAGAGGAGCCTAGCAGGCAACAGTCCATAATGTCACAAAGAGTCAGACACGACCGAAGCGACTGAGCACACAGAAGCACACAATAATGATAACAGTGATAATAATAGCTAACATTTATTGAGTACTTTCCATGAGCCTAGAATAGAGTTAGTAGTTTATCCGTACCGTTTCCTTGTAACAACTCCCTAAGGCAGGCAGCTATCATTTTTCCCATTTAGAAGGCAAGAAAATCGAGGAGACAGCGGTTAAGTTACTTGCCTGAGATCTCATGGCTCGTAATAAGCCATGCACACGTCCCCCAGTGATTATGCCTTTCAGTACTGTGTTCTATGGCAGAACAGTATGTGGAATGGACAACACTAGGTTTTGCAGAAAGAACCTGGCAGAAACTGTCTCTGCCCTCGGGGGCGTTTATTCCGCTTGAGGCAGCAACACCTGGATGCCTGTACGGTTGTGGATAAAACACAGGACACTAACCCAGTTACATTTGAGTTCCAGATAAACACCAGTCTTTTTAGTATCATTATCTCTTAAATGTTGCATGAGACATATTTATAACAAAACCTATCCTTTGTTCATCTAAAACTCAAATTTAGCTGGATGCTAAACTTCCAGTAAAAATGATTTTTAGAAAATATAATTCTGTGTAGCATGTCAGGGGACATTATCCTAAAAAATGTATTTGTTACTGATCCGAAATTCAAATTTAACTGGATATCTTGCATTTTTTATTTGCTAAATCTGGCAACTTTACACGTGGAGCACTTAGAAAATATTATGCCGATGCAGTGTATCCTCTGCACTCTTCCTTGTCCTCACCCCCAGGTTACCTTCACCCCACCTTTGAGCTCTTTATCTACATTCTTCCTGTTAGAGCTCCTCCCCACCTCACAAACTCCGTCCAGGCTCCACAGCCTTATGACACAACAGTCAAGTTCTAGGGCTATGGCCCGGCGTATCCAACAGTCAATATGGAGGCATTTTTCTTTCTGCCTGGGGTGCCCAGCCCTGGGGAGCGTTCTGCAGCTCAAGTCTCCGCTCTCCTCCAGGAACACCCCTGGCTCTGTCTGACTGCTCTGTCCAACCCCCTACCCCATCCCAAGGCCCCCATCCCACCCAGTGGCACGCACGGCTTTGCATCAGTCAGGTCATTGCGTGTTCATTAATATTCACCAAAAGTGTGGGTTGGGGGCAAAGGCAAGCCGGCAGCAAAGGCTCCTTCTTTGTCCTGTCTCTGAGATAGGCTTTCACGGGCATCGGGGAGAGCTGGTGGGGTGGGGTGGGTGGGTGCTCTGGGCCCACTGGTTAACAGTCACCGCCTGTGTATTCTCCAGGATGGGGGCGTTCCGCCGGCTATTTTAAGGCCAGACTGGTGAATGTTGGGTTCCCCTTCGTTTACCTAGGCTCTCAATATTTTCCCTGGCATGCTCTGCAGTGGTCACAGAATGTGGGAAACCAGGCAAGGGAAAAAATTAATGCTCTGTGATGACGCCCCTGGTTGCTGCTGCTAAGTTCCATGGAAAAGACAGGGGTTGGGGGAGCGGGGGGCACCCTATCTGTGTCTATGGGTGTCCCCGAAAGCTTTCAGCTGTCTTGGCACCTACTCAGCTCTAGAGATGGTGGAAAAGGAAAACTGGCTGCAAGCGCTGTCCGAGGACCGCCTGGCAGCCCAGTCTCCGCCCTCTGTGGAGCGCCTTCGCCCGCACTGAATGCCCCTTTATCGGCGAGCGATACTGAGCTTTTCAAAAACACTGTGTAGTCCTGTGTCCCAGATGCCTGTGGCAAGCAGGCTCCGCTTCCTTTCAAGGGTGTTGGCTGAAAAACCCACCCAGAAACCTGAGGAAAACTTCTCCACTTGGCATCTCGAGAGGCTGACACCAACCGCCTTTCTGTTTCTTAGCCCACTGGCCACAAGCTACCTAGTGGACAGTTATTATAAGGAAAGGAAGCAACTTCAGGACCGGGAATTATGCCATGGGCAAAGAACAGTTATTTAAAAGCCCCACAGGGAGCATTCCCCTCCTTCACTTAGACGCACATGCTGAAGTTTTAGTTCATCACCTTCCATGAGCTGAGATTGGCTTTGCAAGAATGTTCCTCTTGTCCTCCTGCAGGTTTGGCCCTCTTGGTTAGTGTTGTTTCAATAGAG